TGCTCCACTTGATTCGTCCGATCATAAAATTATCATAACAAAGTGTGAAATGCTCATCCCACCAAGCCAACAACCACTTCCTCGTAAAATGTGGCACTATAAATCGGTAAAATGGAATGACCTAAAAAAGTTTTACCTGGATTTTCCATGGCAAGAGGTTTGCTTTAAAACAGCTGATCCCACTATTTGCTGTAATGAAATAACACAAGTAATCTTATCTGGAATGGATGCATATATCCCACATACAACTAAACGTAGAGCTAATGCAAAACCTTGGTTCAACAGCCAGTGTCAAACGGCTGTACAGAAAAAACACAGAGCATATAACCTTTGGAAACGACAACAAACCGCTCAAAACCACACAGAATTTATAGAAGCCAGAAATAGTTGCAAAATTACTATTGACTCCGCTAAAGAAACATACAATCAAAGAATAAAAAACAGGTTGCTGAATTGTCCAAGTAGTTCTAGGTCCTTTTGGTCTCTTGCAAAAGCTGTTGGATCTAACTTCACCAAGTCATCCATACCACCACTTACAGATAAAAATAATCACTTAGCCACAACATCAGAGGAAAAAGCCAATATGCTGGCCCAAATGTTTTCCTCCAACTCCAACCTAACAGTGCCAAACGGAAAAACTCCACCGTTCATTGAAAGGGTTTCCCATAGTATGCCAGAGGTACCCTTTTGTCACAGAGAAATACGAAAATCCCTTAAAAAGCTAGATACAAACAAAGCAATGGGTTCGGATGGCATTCCCGCAATAGTACTCAAAAATTGCGCCAACGAACTCATCCCAACTTTCGCAAAATTATTCAATTTGTCTTACAGGCAAGGAGTATATCCATCATCATGGAAGTCTGCCGCAGTACAACCCATTCATTCCAAAGAAAGGAAAAAAGACAGATCCGTTAAACTCTAGACCAATTGCTCTACTTCCGGTGATATCAAAAGTAATGGAAAGAGTTGTGAACAATCACCTAACCAAGTACTTGGAAAAGTACAAAATTATCAACGATAAGCAATACGGATTTCGAAAATATTGGTCAACTGGCGATTTACTTACATACGTCACTCACTTATGGCAAAAAGCGATTGAGTTGCGGGGTGAAACAAGAACAATTGCCTTAGATATATCTAAAGCATTCGACAAAGTTTGGCATGAAAATCTGCTCAACAAGCTCAAAGCAATGGGATTATCGCCGAAACTTTGCACTTGGTTTGAAAGTTACCTAAAGGACAGATCCATTTATGTTGCACTGGATGGCCAGAACTCCAACTCTTACCAAATAAATGCTGGTGTGCCACAGGGAGCAATCCTTTCGCCAACTCTTTTCCTGATTTACATAAATGACCTCATAGATAAAACAGTAAATCCACTTTATTGCTTTGCAGACGATGGCAATGTAGTCTCCTCACTCATAACACCCACAGGTCTTTCCGCACGTGAATTCCATCATCTTAGACTAACTCAAATATCGCAAATAAATAACGACGGGGTAACAAAAACCTTGTACAGTTCAACGCACAGAAAACCCAAGCAGCTCTGTTTTTAAAAAAGAACAGCACCGGTGAGCCAAACATCATGCTATCTGGAAGTGCTGTCACATTACAGAGTCAGTTGAACATCTTGGGGGTTACTGCAGAGACCAACATGTCTTGGCACAATCACGTGGCAGATATTGCTAAAAGGGCGTCCCAAAAGCTGGGGGTGCTATTTCGTACAAGACATCTGTACACACCAAGCCAATTGCTGACACTCTACAAAGCCCAGATTCGACCAACTATGGAGTACTGCTCACATATATGGAGTGCAGCACCCAAACATACCTTAATGCTTTTGAACACCGTGCAAAAACGAGCTATCAAGCTGATCAATGACCCCGCACTTACTCGTAACTTGGATGGTCTCGAACATCGCAGATCTGTGGGCGATTTATCTCTCTTCTACAGGTACTATAACGGAAAATGCTCTGAAGAGTTGGCACGTATGATTCCACCGAGAGTAGCGCCTACCAGGCGAACCCGTCAAACAGACGGTAACCATGAATTTACTGTCAAACTAGAGGCACCAAGAACCTCATTATATCAGAATTCATATCTCTGGAGAACAGCATCGCTGTGGAATAAACACCCTGCGACGGTTTTTCCTGCAGGTTACAACCTGAACCGTTTCAAGACCAACATACACCGACATTTCCGCGCTCTTGCCGCTTCTCGAGCGTGATAGGACATTTCCTTGCGAGTGCGCATATCCGTAAAAAAAAAAAAAAAAAATTATTAAAAAGTCATAATTCTTAACATGACTCTGTATAGAATTAGATTTGTCCTTACTATTTTCTTTTTATTTCATATCAGAACAAATCCTTTATATTTTTTTTTCTTAAGTTTACCATGGATTAAGAGGGGATCGAAAACACATTTTAAATCAATTTACCTATTAAGATGTATGCCATGCTGGAAAATTACAAAGTCTCTGAAAACATATGATGTTTTATTACAAAATTCTCTACAAGACATTACCAATTGTTCTTTTAGCATAAATTCTTGGTATCAGAGCACTTTACCAGTATAAATGGGTGGGCTAGGAATCAGAGATACTGTTACTCTCTCAAAATCGGCTTTCCTAGGATCTGTAGTTAACGTTTGCGATTCACTTAACAATATTCTACCTTCCTATATATTGTGTTCAGATGACTCAAGTTTTTGACGAATGTTTGAAAAGTTGGTCCTCTCTGTGTCAAATTGATACCCCTCCTAGAGAACTACCACAATCTCAAAAAGAATTTGATGATATCTTTTGCAAGATTCGAAAAGAATTTCTTTTTCTAGAAGCAAAGAATGAAAATGATAAAGCACGTCTGTTGGCTCTCCAAGCGCAAAAAAGCAATGCATGGCTCAACGCTTTACCATCTGCCTCTTTAGGAAACCTTTTGGATAACACAACCTTTAGAATCTCAACAGCAATAAGACTTGGTCTGCCTGTGTCTGTAGAACACCCTTGCATCTGCGGCGAAACTGCTGACATATATGGCTCTCACGGGCTAAGCTGCAGAAAAAGTGCAGGACGTGTTTCCAGACACAGACAGATCAACGATATTCTCAAGAGGGCTTTGGTATCAGCTGAATATCCAGCTGTACTGGAGCCACTTGGGGTTTGTAGAAATGATGGTAAAAGGGCAGACGGAATGACGCTGATCCCATGGAAAAATGGAAAACAGTTAATCTGGGATGCAACTTGTTGCCATAATTTGGCAAAATCATATATTAATAAATCATCAAAAACATCTGGATCAGCTGCTTTGCTGGCTGAAGAAAAAAAACATAGAAAGTATTCTGAGCTTGAAGACCGCTTTATATTTGTCCCTTTTTCTGTAGAGACTTTAGGTCCTTGGGGTGATGAGGCTAGGAGATTGGTTTCGGAAATTAGTTCCAAAATTCCAACTAATCAGTCACGTAGTTTCTTAACTCAGAGGATCGGCATAGCCATTCAACGAGGTAATACGGCTTCAGTGATGGGTACCATTCAGAAGGACAAAGGATTGGACGAGATTTTTGACATTTGATGATTCTTTCATTTATGTACCTATATTTATTGTGATTGATTTAATCGAGAATATTGTTTGTATTCTTAATGAAAAACTGTATATTTATATGGAAAAATCTTGATCCAACTTTTATTTTTTCTTGCTTTAAATCTCACCAAATTTATCGCTCAAAAAAAAATCCGACAATACGTTAAACCTCTTGACGATGAGCTTTGAGCCTGGATTTCAACAATATAAACTTCGTCTAAGCACTCCGCCTCTCGCTTTGTCAAAAATCCAATAAAGCCTCGTCTGCCGGCGCCCAAAAATAGTTTTCCGAAACCGGGAAACTCGTCGTGTGGAAATCTATGCTTTCCGTTTCGTATTTTAATGAAAGCGTACACCTTTTCCGCATCGCGTGGCCCATCCTTCCATTGAATTCGTACTTTACAGTATGTGGATTCCAGACGACAGATTTAATTATTCAAACTGGTTTCGGGTGTGCCACATGATGCTTGGGATAAATTGGGAATAAAATTTATCTATTGACATTTCAAGCAAGAAATAATTCTTCGTGGAGATAGTCTCAAGTTTTTGATTTCACTAATTCGTAAAAAGGAGGTAGGTGGTAGAGCAGCTATCAATCACTTATTCTTTTTTCATATTTTTATCGTTTATTCTTCTTGGGCTTATTTTTCAATTCTAATAGGTACCTTGCAGGGTTAGATTTCGCAATGTGACTCTTTCCTGATCGATTTCAAGCCTAAGGGCTTTCAGAAACAAATAACAAGCAAATTCCACCATCAACCAGGTGGGCTCCACTCAGAAAGTTCCGAGGAAAGTTCATTAGCTTCAGAGCTTTCAGAAACAAAGAACACAAGAATTATTCACTCTCTTATGCGGGTTGTTTATTTATAGAAATTCGGACGAGTTCAATTTGTTTCCTGGCTGATCAAACGTCACATTTTCAGCCTTCGTGGATGCAGGAGAAAAACTAATAATGGATCTCTTCTTGGACCCAGTTTTTGGATTCTGGTAATGTGGACCGGATTTTGCACTGTGACTCTTCCTTGATTGAGCTCAAGTAAATTTCTAGAATGGATTCGCTTTATATGTATTTATATTGCATAAATAAGTAGTAAGTAGGTATTTCCAAGTTCTGCAGTTCAAATAGTACATATTTTATTTTTAATGAGTTTAAATGATGAAAAGCATGAAAAATACAAAAGAGGTTAAACTTCTTAGAGCTGAAGTAGTTCAAGATTTGTACTAATGTTTTGTTGATTTTAGTTACTGATATCTTCATAATGTAAAGTAATATCTATTTTTAACAAGTGCAAAAAGCACCAATATCGAAAAAATCGCTTCTTTATTGAACACAAACAGCCTCGATTGCTTGAATAGACTTCATCTTGAGTTGCTCATGCTAAAAAAAAATACTCCTCCGGGATTTGAAGGATCCTTAGCTCTTACGATGTCAGGCTTCGCTTCGAGCGGATTCAGGTCAAAGGCAAACATAGGAGGACTATTTTATTGAATCTGACATGTTTTCCAGCTGAAAGTTGCAATCCTGCGTAGATTTATTTGTCTTCGATTTTGTAAGACAGTTTTTAATTATTGCTGGTGGGTCAGCACTAAACATTTTAATATTTCAGGTTCAAATATCAATAATATATGGAGTTTGTCCGATCTCAAATTATTTTTGAGGGTTTTTTTTTTGCAGTGAGAGGGGGGCGAGTTGATTGCTTGAGGAAAACCACCTATTTAAAATATTATTTCTTCAAATCTTAACTTTTTAAAACATTTCCTATAGGAAAGCAAATGGTAAATGTTGCAGCCATGTATGCGTTGTGAAATTTTTCGGAACGGGGGCGAGCTACGGAAAACGAGAGTACCGAAGCGAAGGGGGGATAGAAAAATGAGAGGCTAGACTGGAGAGAAGAAGCTGGTCTGCCATTGTTCATTATTCGATTTTTATTTTGTATTAAACTGATTGTTCAATACAATTTGTGATTATAGTTTGTGTGTCATAAGGAGCATTCACAGGTCAGTTGAATAAATGTTATTTTGTTTTTGAGAGTTCAATTAATAGAAGTATTATTTTTTCATTTTTATGTTTTTTTGTTTGTTTATAACATTTTTTATAACATGTGCATTGTTCATGTAACTATTTAACAAAAATCGTTTCATGCTGTAAACAATGCAGATAAAAGGTAAATTAAAACCAAAGAAATTATGTGTTGTCTTTTGTGCTGGGATTTTAATTTTTGGTATTCAGAGCGTAGGAACATTAGGGCCTTGTTGAATCTACTAACACTCTCCTACCTTGACGAGCGAATATCCTGGCAAACAAATTGAAAAATCAATCTAGAGTTATTGACTCAGAATAACAACTATAACTGAGTAGCCTCCTGTAACCAGGGACCTGAGTACCTGCTGGTGGAATTGGCTAACTAACCAAAAATTCTTCTGTATTGAATATAGGTAGTGTTGATTGAATGTGGTGTGTGGAATTAAAATTTTAGAACAAGGAAAAAGGATGGTACCTAATTCAAACTATTATTGATTCACAATTAATTATTAAAATGACACACACAGTTCAGAAAAAATTAAGAGGGAAGTTTTCCTGAGGGAGAATCTTAACTCTCTTTGTCAGGTTTTTTATAAAATAGCTAGTAGTGCTAATACATAAACGTAAATAGACGAGACACACATAAAAAAATTCATGAACAGGTTTTTTATGGTTTCCAGACAAATTATTTAGGTTTTGTCAAATCATTAAATCCCTCTAAGATCCTCTCTCAGGGAAACTTCCCTTTCAAATTTTCTTTTTTTTTTGACTTGGAAGTAGGTAGGTGAAGAATTTTGAGAATTTCACGTCAACATTTATTTTATTTTATAAAAAGGTATAAATTGGAAAAAGTCGTAAATTAAATTTTTTATTCTTGCTGAACAACCTGTCTGTGCGAAAGTGTGACTCTCGAGTGTACCCCTTTGCCTGGTGGTGCCAGACGAAAAGACCTTTTGAATCAATATCGGATTCACCCTTTTCACCGCTATGAAAGCGCTGTAGTTTGAGCGGTGAAATAGGAGACTGCTGAGCAAATCAGTACATTATTTGAAATATTGATATTAATGTTCCAACATAAAACTCCCCACCTGAAAGCCTATAGGATTTCAACGAGCATAGAACTGAATCTTAAATAAAGTAACTAAAGTATAACTATTTCAAATCGTTGAAACACAGCAAAGAAAATTTCAATTTGGATTCAATCGTTTTATTGGGTAGCACACACACACTTACTACCGGTGGCTTCATTTCAGTGTTCGCGGTTTTAATCGTCACTGTCCGTGTAATGCCATCCTTTCCCGGATGTGTGGAAACAATTCTTCCCAATTGCCACCTGAGTAGATGCAGCCCATCATCCTTCACTAAAACCATAACACCAGGTTTTAATAACTGGTCAACTTTTTCTTTCCACTTGATACGAGTTTGAAGCGTGGATATGTACTCCTTAGTCCATCTGGACCAGAAGTGTTGGAAAAGTTGTTGTGTTCTCTGGAACCTTGACAATCATCCTTCTTTAACATCCATAAAGTTGTGGTCTGGTATGCTAGTTGGAGATTTGCCGATTAGCAGGTGTGTGCTGGAGTCAGAGGATATTCAAATCACTGGGGTCGTAGGAAAGAGAATAAAGTGGTCTAGAGTTGAGGCAAGACTCTATTTAATATAGGACGGTGCAAAACTCCTCATATGTCAGAGAAGCGTCGCCTTTTACACGTTTCATATGAAATTTAACACATTTGACGTCTGACTGCCAAATACTATCAAAGTGAGGGGAGCCTGGCGGAATAAAACTCCACTAAATACCATCATTCGATAGAGCATCTGTTGTGTTATGGCATCATTGTTGTCATCTAAGAATCTTCGCAGCTCATTTTTTGCACCTACAAAGGTAGTGCGATTGTCGGAGAAAATTTCTGAACATTTTTCGGGTCTAGACATAAAACGGCGCAAGGCTGCTAAGAAGCATTCAGTTGTAAGGTCACTCACCACCTCTAAATGAATTGCCCTACTGGCCAAACAAACAAAAAAGTGAAATGTAAGCTTTAGTGTTTTTAAAATTACGTCCCTTTCTGTCACGGAGTAAGAAAGGAAAAGGGTCTGGTTGGAGTGACGAGTTTACTGGGAAGATTGCCCATTAGGTATTTTTCTGGTTTATTTCGAAATATGAAGCAACGCACACAATCGTGAACAATCTTTTTCACCAAATTACGATTGGAGATTGGCCAATAACGTTTTCTCAAAGACGCAAGCAGAAATTGTAGGCCTGCATGCAGAAGTCGTGTTCATTTTTAATAATTGAAAAAGTGAGATGATGTTAGGAAGGAAGTATGATCGGATGTTTTTTAGTATAATCGAAGTGTGAATCATGCAATCTGCCACCGACTCGAATCAATTTTTCATTGTCTATGGATGGGTTTAGGGTCAAAAGTTTACTATAAGAATATATCCTTTTTGAATTCATAACCCCAAGTAGCACATAATATGGGGTAAACATCGTTTTTCAGTTGGGCCAATATTTATTCATTTTTGTTGCACAGTACCAATATTGGGGCAACCTTAGTTTTAACTATGTGGAAACAATATTTAAAAATAATCTTGTACCAATATTGTTTTCATGGACTATTTCACTAGAGTGTTTGACACTGGCAAAATCTCATAGAAACGGCCAGTTTCCTTCTGACAAAACTTCTACCTGTTCCTACTTGGGCAAAACCAACATGATGGTTTTTCAGCGACAAAATTTTGTGTGGTTAAGGTAAAAAACTTTGTTTTTCTAAATGAAAATTTGGCTTGTTTTTCTCGTGAAATAGTCCAGCCGAATACCACTCAAGAAAAAATTATGTAGGCAAAATTATTCTCTTGGTTTTATTCAAGTTTGTTGCTTTTTGGTAATTTTGCGAATGACATTTTTGACAAAACCACGAGTCGTCAGGCGAGTGGTTTTGTTAAAAATTTCATGAGCCCAAGCAACAAACTTTTATACCAGTCGAAAATTTTGCCAACAAAATGTTTTTATATATTTTTAAATATACAGGGTGCTTCGTTTCTGGGGTATGCGACAGAGCTTTATTATTTTAAATGGAATACCCTATACCTAAGTTCAACTGTTTTGGAAATATTGACAGTTGAAAATTGACTTTTTGCAACTTTGAGAGGCTGTAAAACCTAAACGGTTAATTTCAGACGAAAACCGATTTTACATTCCTATCTTAGATTTTCATAAACTATCATTTGACATCAACTTTGAATTTAAGCGGGGATTAAATTTAACTGGAATTTTTAATCATGGATTAAATTTAAAGTAAGTGTCAAATGATAGTTCATAAAAATCTAATATAGGAATGTAAAATCGATTTTCGTTTAAAATTAACCGTTTAGGTTTTACAGCCTGTCAAACTTGCAAAAAGTCAAATTTCAACTGTCAATATTTCCAAAACAGTTGAACTTAGGTATGGGGTATATCACATAAAATCTGCTCAGAATTTTACGTAGAATCCAAATTTGCAATTACATACAGGGTGCTCTATTTAAAATAACGAAGTTCTGCCGCATACTCCATAAACGGAGCACCCTGTTTATTCAAAAATATTTTTAGCTAATGCATATTAGTTTTATAATTTTTTTTTCTTGCATCACCCTGTAAGGAGATATCATCCGATATCGCACTGAGTGGACACCCTGTATATGATTAATTAACTTTTCAGTAATTTGAATATTGGCCCAAGACTTCTCACTACAATATTGATTTATGAAATATTGGCCAAATATTACATTTTATATTATCAAAACAATATTGTAATAATATTAATTCAATATTGGCATTCAATTTTTTATTGATATTTAAATTCACTTCAAAAACTTTGTAAACCCAATATTTATTTTCAATTTTTTCACAATATTGATATGTACTTTTTGTAAAGCCAAATGAAGGGCCAATATTTACATACTAACTTTTACCAAGATTAGATTTTCTGAATTGAAAATGTTGGTCCAATATAGGGTATTCAATGTGCGCACTTGGTGTGCCGACCCTAAAATAGATGGAGACTGGAGACTCTGTCTTCACTTTACTTATCTTAAACCTGGTTCCGGGATGAAGCTAAAAATTGGTTGTTTTCTCTCTGCGGCACCCTGGCGGGACTTAACCGTGCTGATGAGTTGTGATACAGCGAGACGGGTCTACGGATGGTCCGGCAGAGAGAAAACACTTCTTAGTCGGTCCTTATAATTGGTCCGTTACCCTAATTAAATATAATATAAAGCCAAGATTTACATACGTCTTCGGGCCAATATTGGTAATATCAATTGGCTCTATATTGCATAAAGTTCTTGATATGATATTGATTATTTCTTTTTAGGCCAACATTTGGTTACGTTATTGTACCAACGTTGGTATTTGTTTTTGGGTATATATTGACATACGTTCTTGGACAAATATTGCAGAATGTCC